CACCTCTTCTCATGGCTCGCTTGGTTAGTTACTAAATAGCCATCAATGACGAGCAACTTAAACATAAATCCGAAACTCTCTATCACATGTCACATGTTGGTCCTAGCGCCCGACGCTCTACTTACGGATTTGCAAGAATAGTTAACCTCGTCGATCGCGCGGCATTTATGTGTCTTTCCTCACTTTTGCACTAAATGGTGTCATTCACAGCTTCAACAGAGCTGTGAATGGCATAGCTGTGTTGCCTGCTATTTTTCTTAAAAGCCGTTCTCATGCGCCAAACTAAGCGTCAAAACTAACAGAATAAATGTTTCTGGGAAATACGATCAAGTCTAAAGCGAAGAATCAGGCATGGCGCGCTAATTAAGACTAGAACAGGCATTTTGAGTTGTTAATTTCAATTTTATAACGACGTCAAGCCTTTGCTGGAAATCCAGGGAGAGCCGCTACACTACGGGCACCACGAAATTCGTCGGAACTGTCACTGGAAGCAGTAACGAAACAAAAGTCAAGCTTTGTTCGGGCGTCACGACACTGCGAATGTGAAGTTGATTGTTTAGAGCTGTCGAGACATAAAGGATGCATTCAATATACTTCGAATTTGTTTTAAGACTATGAACTGTATTGATTTCGCACTAATCTAGGTGACCAAATGGCCACTATCGTCGGTTTGCTGGTTTCTATTGTGCCCATGCACTTTCATCTAACGCCATGCAGTGGGTATGAGTGGGTTTCGGCAACTAGCATTCTTCGAATGGCCCATATCTTCCATCATCACGAACGTATTTTAGGGTTGAAAACCGCACTCAAAACTCGCATGTAGGGCAAGACGAGCTTTGCATGGCTCGAACAGAACTGTTTTTGTTCCGCTCAGTCTATGCCCTGATGAAATGTATCAAACGTACTTACCTCCCTACAAATATAACCAAAAACAACAAAAGGAGTCATCTGATCTTGGTCTCTTGTGGTCTTTAATGATCAAGACTGAAAATTAGCCAATTACAGTAGCAAAACAAGAAAAACTGGTTTAAAAGTGTGTTGTGAATGCAGCATCCCCCTAGGGAACACTGTCAAGCATTTTTCGGACTAAACATGCCAAACCTGCTTTTCACTTACATCCTGTTAACAGTCTACTAACAAGAGCAGCTAACAATTGTTTCACCAAGATTGTCAAGCATGGAATTTAGGATTTGGCACTCGTTTAAGTGAAGCTCTCGTGATGAACATTGGTGTCGGAACATGCTGTCTTTTACGCTTTGGCTTCCATTCATTAGGAAATCAATGATTAAATTTCAACATGTTTACACCTCATCCAACATTTCACGCTTAACGCCTTGTAGCAGTTATACATTCTAGTCACCTCAATTTCAGGAAACGTATATATGGCTGAAACTGCAAAATGCTCTGAGCGCCGGACATCGGAAACTGCCTACGTTCGAGCTAGATTGCACGTATGCGCGATGAAAAAGTTGCCTCAAGTGATGTTCCATATGTTTGAGCGTTTATGACCCAACATAATATGTTGACTTATCGTATCTGAAAGCAGACACATAAATCCTCAGCCGACTCGGTCACCAGAAATGAAACCGCAAGGCTATAGAAAGCATGCAGGGTGCATGATAATTTCTGCCGACTTCGTTTCGACCTCCAAAACCCAGTCTAGTCTATAAAACTAGCTGTATTCATGTAAGTTTAGGTGCTCGATGTAAGACATTTAATCTCATCGGCCTTTCTTACACTGGCGACATCAGCTCGCTGTCTTAAACGTGGAAGCATGCACCACCAAAATACGCCGGACGTGAATAGAATGCAAGGTCATTTTAAGCTATTTGGGGGCATATTTCCTTCCATTTTTGGTCGTCCTTATTAGTTTTCACAACAAGTCTGTGGTACGGGGATCTCGCGAAACCTCGGCGTAAGTCGCTGAGGGATGCAAGCAGGCATTTCATTTCAGGTTTATCTCCGCACTCATTTTCGTCCGAAGCAGATTGTGCGAAAACTCCCGTGCAGTAGCGGCTTGATAAAAGCCTACAGTCTATCAGAGCTACCTCAGTTGATACAATATAGCTAAAAGTAAGTTCTTAAAGCAACTTACCGCAGTGTATTTAACTTTGTGTCTGACTCCTGATAAACGCATAACAACATAGTGCAAACATGCCAGAAGACACGCTGATGAAGCGTATATGTTCCAGGCGCACTGGTGAGCGGAGCTTGTGTAGCAAGATGGTACGTGTGCGTTCTCTGACCCGACGTCGTTTGCTTCTAGGTCCGATGCGCCCTGGAGGCAGCGCTTTCATTGCCATCTTTACTGTCGGATACCAGCGTTGTGCGGGTGGCCGAGGTCTGATTGCTGTGTGATTTGTGATTGCAATTGTGATTGGCCGTCGCAAAGAAACTTAGTGTTCGATTGGTGCCAGACCGTGCATTGCCGAGATATGTGCCCAGTTTGGACCACTGCTTTGGTGAGGTCCGGGACATGTTTTATGCATTTTGAGGGGTACACCAGACAACTAAGTTCAGTAGCATGACGGTAACATGCCATTGGCCAGTACCGCTTGGTTTAAGCACGAGGTCGATTTGAGGCGGAACTTGCTCACATCATTTTGGGTTGATTATTGGCGTTTGTATGGGTCGGGCAACAATCAGTTTGCTGCATGATTTGTAATCACACTAAGGGAATGCACCTTGCTGCTTCAAGTTTCAAGTTTCGACTGTTTCAAGCCTAGTGTAGCTGCGGTATGCTGTTAGTTTCTGCTCTCCTTTGTGTGATATTCCTAAAAGCGATAGTGTATTTACCGCCACCTCTGAAAAAATTATTGCACGTTTGTTTAACAAGTAGGTATGTTCGTTCCCATTTAATGCGCTCCAATCAAAAAGGCTGTTCTTGTTCACTTAGTTAGCCTGCCTGCAATTTATTACTTCGCTTAGATTCCTTACTGCTTTATTCATGTTTGTCAAACCCTAAAATAACATTTCATGACGGAAATCATCGGCACGACCATACCAGCAGGGACTGGTTACATGCGGACATCAAAAAGTAATCGGACTACATTAAGGAAACGTTTGGCGGTAACATAAGTGTTTATAATCATCCGTTTTTGAGGAAATGTTATCGCATATTTGCAAAGAGTCTCTTTGAGATAAGAATCTTTGTCAACTCCGTGCATAGCCCGTCGCGAAGCCGTTACCTCCCTTCCCAACGGACTACTTCAATTTAACGAATAGCTCTGCCGACAGACCTTATGTGCCGCGCAGGGCCATGTCGCCGCCTTCCGAGACGGTCTGGCCGTGTTGGCCAGTACCAACTGACCGGCATTGACACGCCACGTGGCGTGGTTACCTATGTCTGCATCTCAGCGGTCGTATGTTCGGTACTCTGCCAACTGAGCCACGAGGAGGTCAAAACGTAGTTAGATCATTGGAATGCTGCGAGGTGCTCCACACATCTTTGTTTCTCAAACAGCAATCTTCGTGTGCTCAGAGATGCAAACTGTTCGTTCGATTCCTCGGGCTTTTTTATCCACTTTTGTGCCAAGGGCACGATGAAGTCGCGCAGTTCTCGGACGCATTGAAAAGTGCTAAGTGGTCCACCGCGCAAATATTCACAAAGCGGATACCGCACCGCATTCCAACATTGATGGCCTTTCAGCGCAAACCATGCGATCGGGCCGTTGTGACAGCGAGCCAGCGGCAGAGCAAAGGATCCGCTGACTCGGAGGATGGCGCAGTCGGCGGTGACCTGCCTGTGAAGTCTTGAAGGTGTGCACAGTCGACCCAGATTGGGCAGCCTGCCCCTGAGTGCAGCCGGATCGGCTAGGACCGGCTACAGGTGTCGATGTGAGGTGTTCAGATCACATCAACAACAGGTCACTCGCTCTCGCTGGGGAGAACGGGCTCCATAGGAGACGCGCGCGGTCAGGATGGGGACTGACAACTTGTCATCGGGTGACAACTTGGAATCCGGCAATGGTAGCAAGGTTTCTCCAAGGGTATAGACAGCGGGCTGCGTACCAGAGCGCAGAAGCCACGATATCCTTGACACCATCGGCGTAACAAACAAGGCACCTTCATGACGCAGCACTTCTCTTCACGCCAGTAGCCAGGTACCACGTGAATCATTCGAACACTCACGGCAATTTGAGAACATATGTTTAAATGACACTAAAGCATTGAATGCTATGCGTGTTGTGACTCAGTTCAAACGATTATGTTTTCAGTAAGAAATCTGGAATTATATTAACGCGTCGCATGTTGCGCTGATCCTTACTGATAATGAGGTTCCGAAGTAGACACCTCATCAGCGATTTTCAGCATGCAGTATTGCACAAAAAGGTTCGTGTACACCCTAAGTTTGAGACAAGGCAACGTGGCCGCTACGACATAAGCCTTAAGAAATAAAGTCTCCTTCCAATCAAAACGTCATCCTTCTATATCCATTGGTTAGGAGCCTATAGTCCCACCAAAAAACATTGAGTAGGCTCTGGTCGGCTCGGGTAGGACTGCCCATGCAAATACAAACTTCCTCGAAATTTCGTAAAAGCTTCACCAGCCGCTTTGCGACTCGCTTGCGGTTTCATTGCACAATGGATGCTAGCGATGCTCGCTATGTACATTGCGCTTCCGAATACGTACATAAAAGCCGCTTTTCCCATTTCAAGACCGACATCACGTAATCTAGAATATCTTGACAATGTGCATCCCCAATGAATGGCGCCAGGCTCCACGTCCATGCACGATTTCGTAATATCGGCTTTCACGCATGATTAAACGCATGATATCGGCTGTCCCTAGGTTACCCGACCAGCTGCGCAACCCAACAGATGAGGATAGCGGCTCCCGGGACACTAAAGTATTCTTGTCTGCTTTGCCAGTTGACAACCCAGCGGTCCTGTGTGGTTTTTTGACCCTCTCCCCTCCCCGTTAACTGTATTCACCCTTGAACGCAATCCGAATTATGTGCTCTGGTACCTGTATCAGGTCACAATGAAGGCGCTGCTCACCTTGCTAGACAGCTGAAGTCGCTCTCCGTCGCCTCTATCTGCCTCGGGCTGCCGGTCTCTGCCGGGCAGCTTCCGCCGCGGCCTCGTCGATGTCGTTACCGCACGTCCGTACACCGGTCATAAAACGGCCGCAGCCAATCGGCGCCGGCGCCGGCGTCGCGTGGGCGGAGCCGCGCCGTCGGCGGCGACGCTGACAGGCGGACGCGGCTCTGACGCGGCCGACGGACGGCGTCGGCTTCGACGAACGACGCCGCGGCTGTTATTACCGACACACGATCCGGGCGGCGCTCTCTGCTGGCCTGAAAGCTGGTTAACGCTCGGACGGCGGGCGAGTTTAGCTCCGTGTGATTAGGTGGCGGCTGTAAGCGGGGCCGGTCAGTTACAGGTTCGCTCGGTGGAGGACGGCGGAGGCATGCCGAGCTTCGGGGTGCTCCGTCGCTGCTGTGCCACGGAGTGTCAGCAGAGTTTCGCGGCGCTGAATGGCGGGCACACTCGGCACCAGACTGCGATGTCACTAGATGTCTGGTGACATGTGTGATGTCACCAGACGTAAATGTAAATCAGCGGTAACCCTCAAGTTGCTGCTTCTCGTTGATGCTGATATATAGCAAATGAAGAACAGTAGAAAACAAAACAGCTCCTGCAGCGTTGTTACACAAGATTGCAACAATATTTATCTCTCGTACCCATCGAATCTATGGTTTTCCTTCTGAAAAAGATTAACTTGCTTACGCAATGAGCCCAGGCTGGGACGAGGTGACAGTATCGTGACTTTGGATGACAGGACGAAGACTTTAGTTGGTAAGAAACAGATGAGGCGAAAAACTTCCTTGGAAATGGGATTGTGCTAATCAGCTGTAAGCCAGCAATACTGTCATCGGTGGTAGTGTGAAACAATACCGTGTAAGACCAGACAGATCCCGGATCAGGATACCCTGCTTTGGGATAACGAGGCCTTTTGGCTATAGTTGGAGGCCTCCCTCGTGAAGCGGAAGCATCCTGCTCTGGATTAGGGGACCACACTATGTGTCAGGAGGCCCTTTCCCGGAACAGGAGGGCCTGTTTTATAAAAGCGCGATCCTTTGCTGTATAATCAGGAGAACCCCGTTCTGGATTTTCTCATTGCTGACATTTATTCCCTTACATGTGATGTACGTAACAAATGGATAAGGGGCACATGCCCTCGGTGCCCCTCCCTCTTGCATACGCCACTGCCCAGTATGCCCCCGTTGAGGGGGCTTTATTTTGTCCAGTAGGTCCTCTGAAAAATCCTGCTCCTTCTCTTCCCAAGTCAAAATTCGTGGCGCCTCCCCTGCTAGAAGCTCTGGTTTCTTTTCCTTAGTTTAAGAGGGTGAAAAGGAAAAAGACAAAGGAAATGGACTTTCAGAATAAAGCAAAGCAAATATAACGAACAGTTTTTATTAGGATTGGCGCTGCTGGATGTGTGGCCCATCGCCGATTACGGCGCTCCTCCCACGTCAAGACCGACCGTGCATGTGCACACACAAACATATCGCTCCACACATTCTCGTTTTAAGATCCTCTTCGCACACTTTTTCCTTCGCTTACGGCTGAAGCCCATCACCGTCAAAGGGGACCACGACGTTTAAGGGACACTGAAAAAACTGCCGACTCTCCCCCCCCCCCTCCATCCGAAATTTACATCTGCCGCCAGTGGTCATGTGGTCATGGCACATTCATGCCTCTTGCACGAAAACTGAAGGGGACAAGCAAAATAGCACTCAGCACCACCAGCATTCTACCAGCGTCACAAAAGCAAACCTCCTGGAAGGCACCGGCCGTGGACCGGGCCTACAGAAAATGTGTCTGTACAAGCAAATCCGCGGGCCGAACGGGACCCACCTCACATTTGAGATGTTCAGCTTCACTGATTCGGTGCGGCACTGTCACCACACTTCTGAAAGATGATATGTTCCATGATTAAAAGCGCGTGCTGATTTCAATGACAACACCATGATGTCTTACAAGCTGCATTGGGTATGTTCTTCGGGGTTGGTATGAAAATTTTCGGGTGGGTGACGTTCTTGATTGAGTGGTGATGTGGCTCTTGCAAGGAACATTGCAATATCACCGCTGTTTGATCTCCCGCTCGATGAGCATGGGAAATGTACATTTTGCTGTACATGTACATTGTTAACATTGTTAACATCTGATATGTTGATATCAATGTTATGTTAATGTTGATACTGTAACATTAACATAACATTGTTAACTTCCAAACGGTGCTAAAGCCAAGGTTAGGTGCGTATATATGTGCGCAGATGGCCATGAAGCTCAGTGTGCAAACCGAGGACCCGCTCGCCAATCTCAGCAATCAGAGCAGATGAATGTGATGTCAACTGTATATTGCGAGCTAACGCAGCAGCTACAGCTCACGGGCGTGTTTCAACGCAGTGCGCTCCACCATTGCGCCAGTAATTGACTGGACGACATCCATTTCACCATTCCCGAATAGCGCGATCGGTGCTACCATTGGCACCCTGCGATAACTGGACAACAATTACTTGCAGTTATGCGGAGCAACTGGCTTACGGTGACCTGGCTTCGTTAAGTGGGTTGAGCGTGCCAAAAGGTGTTCCATTTGTATTGTGCTTGAGACACGTTAAATGACGTGAATTACACAGAAGTCACCATTTAGCTGTGAATTGTGGCACAAATGCTGGACGAGTGTACCTCCTCACAACAAAATAATAAAAACGACGGAACTTCCAACGCATCGTTGCATACCACACGCTGACACCAGTGTTGCTATTCATTACAGTCTTTTCGCGATATTCTGGTCACAGCTGTCAAAGTGAGATGGCCTGACCCAGGCTAATTGATATTAATATGCCTGACCCGGCCATAGTTAACCAATTCCAGGCAATCTTATTCAAGATTTAATCAATGGTAGCAGCGGATTACACAAAAGTCAGCTACCATCGCTGACTGTGCGACTGTGTAGCTGTGAATTGCTGCACAAAGGCTGGACGAGTGGGCCTCCTCCTAAAAAACAATCAAGAACGACGGAATTCCCAACCAACGCATCGTTACACAACCGCATACTGGCACCCACCACCAAAGCGGTAGTGAATCATTACATACTTGTACCCTAACGCAGCGGTTGCAGGCCTTCGAACTGTGATGTCTTGAGCTTAACCAGCAGTGAAGAAGTTACAAAATATACCCTTAGTAGAATATGTGGGGGCTGAAATGCTGCTTTTTACATCCCGTCATTTGACACGTCTAAAGCACGTCTAAAGACCGATGAATATGGAACGACCTTCTGGCGCGCGCCTGGCCATTTAAGAGGCCAGATCCCGTAACTGCAGATGTTCCACATAGCTGCGAGTAATTGCTACCCTTCTGTCCCAGGGTGTCAACAGCGGTTACCAACAGCGCTATTCGGGCCAGCAAACCTCCCTCATTGTCACCGAGCACAGCTTTTTTGCTGCAATAACACACACACACACACACAGCACACACACACACACACACACACACACAAACACACCACACACACACACACACACACACACACACACACACACACACACACACACACACACACACCACACCACACACACACACACACACACACACACACACACACACACACACACACACACACACACACACACACACACACACACACACACACACAGATACATATATATATATATATATATATATATATATAGATATATATATATATAGTATGTGTGTGTTGTGTGTGTTCATAATATGTGTTTTAAATTCACGCTTTTCGACGTCATGAAGCATAATGTTGAAATGCCTTTTTCTTACATTGCCAAACGACCTTGTAATCAAACACAGCAAGAGAAGCCTTCGTCAGACGAGTTTTAGTTCATTTCATATCATGAGATCATTCCCAGTGTTGTATGTTATCAAGTTTTGGAAACATCGCTAACAGTCAAACATATGCACAGATAATCCGTAGTTTTTCGTATTTTGTATGTATGCATTTCGTATGATATGCGCCAGTCGCCTGCAGCACGAGCAGCGGTGGTGTGGGATTTCACGACGCTCGGCTCTGGACGTGCCGGTCCTTGGTTCTGAACCCGGCCACATCACTGCCGCATCCCTTATGGTTGTCTACGAAGGCATCCCGTCTCGAAATGGTTCTACCAGCCAGTCAGAAGTGAAGCCCGATCATTGTCATGAATCGCACTGAGCAACGGTGGGCTTCATGCTGTAACTGCAATCACGGGACTGATCTTGCCCGTAAGACAACGGCTTAAGCGCTCGGTTGTCGATATTTTACTACTCCTTATTCGTATAACCGTCTTCCGGTAAACCCACGCAAATGGGTTTTGCTTTGTCCAGATTGCAAGCTCGTGCATTCAGCGTGGTGCACCAGATTCATAGCACCTCATGATGCATTGATCCTTTGTGTGTGGGGGCGGCGAGCTGCGCAGGCTGAGCGGCATACCTTTGCCCCCGAAAGATGGATGAGATGCACATCCAACAGTCGCTAACAACCCATACCACTCGGGAAGTGCTGAATCTTATTCAGTTTGGACATTGTAGTGAATAGTGCCCATCCTAAACTCGTTTGATGACAGGTTTTAAAGAAATTAAACTTCTGCCCGGGTGGCTACCGCGCTAGCTAAGCCGATTGATGTCATATACACAAGGCCCCGGCCCTTGGTTAAGCTCTGCGATCCGGTTGTGATGCTGGCAACAGAGAGCTTAGTGAGATTTGCGAATAAAACGCCTACGGGCGCGCGCGCCGGTGAGCCGGGATCGGCACAGGCGGGCTGAGGTGCGCGAGCCGCCTGCAGCTGTCGATCTCAGCCTGCGACAGAAGGTCGCATAAATGACAGTAAACAATGCGTAAGACACAGTATAATGGGAGAACTATATCAGGATTTCCCCGTTTCATTCGGCTGCTAATGAGGCGTTTGATCCGCACTTTCAATCGACTTCACGCAGTCAACCGGCAGTTGGTTCTCACCGCGGGGTCGGGGGCTACCGGTAATGCAGCATGACTGCAGTTTTATCAGCGTCTGCCCTCGCTCCTTAACCGCATGG